TTTAAAGATTAGTCAATTCACCCAAATTTTAGAACTAAGTATCCTGAATTTTGAGCTGCTAATTTGAAATTCAGGACTAAATGTTTCTGAACTACTAATTTAAAATTCAGGACATAAGATTTGAACTTCAGGACACAATTTTCGAACTTTAGGACACGATGTCCTGAAGTTGAAACTTTGAAGTTTAAACTCTAGGATATCATATTCTAAAGTTTGATCAAAATTAGCTAATCTTTAACTATATTGTAAATTGTGGATATATTTTAAACAACATGCTTACAAATGGCTATGTGGTGTTATTTTCACTAATGATTATATGAAGAATGAACTTTAGTTAACATTGGCAGGCACCAGAACCTCTATTTACGCCTGGATTGATATTTGGCTACCTAATAACTCCACGTTGCATAGCCTTATCCAAGGTCCTATAACTCGTAATGAATAATTCCTTACACGGGATCACCTTCTATCCAATGGTAATTGGAACATCAATGCCCTTTCCTTTGAATTGCCTGAAGATCTCTCTTTTCTCATCCACAGTACGTACTTTAATGCTACTCTCCACGGCCTGATACATATTGTTGGCTTGCTAATTCTATAGGCTCCTTCTCTGCTAAATCAGTTTACCACCTTTATCTTGCCACACATTGTAATCTTCCTGCCAACCCGCCTAATATCAAATGGATTTGGGCCCTTCATATCTGATAAGTATGGATTTTGACGGCTTATTTGCTCTATTTTACTTGCGTTTTAGCTCAAAAATGCTTGAAGGTATTCCTGAAAACTAATGAAATGTGCTTGCTTGCAGGAACATTGAGAAACGAGCCAAAATCAACTCATAAAGGAGTCAATGAAGAAAAACCAGAACAGGGGCAAAAAGGCCAACAGTGTGGACCGCACAATTCTAGTGCGGCCGCAGAAAGGAGATTCAAAGAGTAGTGTTTGGGCCAGCTAAAGGCATGCGGACCGCACCGAAACTATGCGGCCGCAGGAGGTCAAGTGTGGCCGCATTCATTATTATGCGGTCTGCAGGATTGAAGAATCAGAGAGCTGTTTCAAATCCAAAAAGCAGAGAGTGCGGACCGCATCAGTTTTGTGCAGCCGCATAATCAGAAGTGTGGCCGCACCCATTTTTATGCGGACCGCATAAGCCCCCCAAGTTCCAAGCCCAAGTTCCCAAGAATGCGGACCGCACGATAATTGTGCGGCCGCAATAGCTCATTGTGCGGACGACACTAGAATTATGCGGCGGCACAACCTTAGTAGGGACATTTTTATCAGATATTTTCAACTTAGTATAAATATAACTTTTTGTCATTTTAAGGTTAAGTTCAGTTTTCAGAAGTACATCTGAGCCATTTTCTTTACTGTTTTGAGCAATTATGTACTAGATTAACTTCTAAACATTAGATTCTCTTTGTTTAATCAATTAATATGCATTCTATCTTAATTTCATCTTGTATCTCTTTATTTTTCATGAGTAGCTAAACCTTTAGCTAGGGTTGTGGCCCAACCCTAGTGTAGGTACTTAATGGGTATTTAATGTAGGGCTTGTTTGTGATTGGGTTAGTGATATTTAGCCTTGTTCGTGCTTGAATTCTAGAATTAATGGTTGCGACATTGATTCATGCCTATTTGACTTAGTCTCTACTTGAGAAAGAGAGACTAAGTATAGGAAAACTTGGCTAATAAGGAATTGGGGTGAACTCAAGAAATTGATAGCCCCAATTAAAGGGTCAAATCTAGAGATAGTAAGACCCGACTTGAGCATATATCACTTTATTTGTGCAATACCCATTTGGACTTGAGAAAGCCAAATTGGGCAAAATCACTCAAACTACCGAGAGGTATAGAGTGGGTAATTGCGTGTGATTGCTATATTGCGACCCCGACTAATCAAACTTACCTTAGAGTTTACAACCTGTTAGGTAACCACCTAGGTAGAAGTCACGACCCTAGATCCTTTATCATTTGAAAAGCAACCAAAACAAAAAATATTGTCTCCTAGTTTCATATTTGCAATCAATAGTTTAGAGTAGAAGTAAAAACAACAACAACCAAGAATGTGGAAGAGTAATTTGAGGCACATCACACACTTGCACTAAATATATACCTAATCCCAATTTTAACTCCCTGAGGAATCGACCCCGACTCATGTTGGGATTTTTATTGCTTCGACCGCTTCACTACCTATACTTGTGGTGTGAGTTTGGGCGACATCAATATCCCAATAAAATTAAAACTTTTCTTTGGCTACTCATTCTTAGTCGGCTACTTACTGCTTCATATATATCATCTATTAATGTTCTTCACCACCCTCACTACCACTCTTGTGCGAACATAACTGAATCTCTCCATCATTTTTTCTTCGAGTGCATTCATTCTCATACCATTTAGAAATTCTTTAATATTAACAGTACTAATGCTATTTCACTGTTTGGCTTAGAATGCACTATACCAACACTCACTAGTCTTTCACCTGCCAAGGAACTGAAGTTCCAAAAATTTTACTTACCTCTTTCATCCTTTGGCATACATGGACCAACCGAAATCACAACCTCTTCAATAACTTGCATGCACATGTCTCCATTAAAAATATTCTCTTCCATGTGATCGAATTTCATTACCTCACTCCATCTCCAACTCCCCATCCCATTTTCACCCTCGAATATATTAAATGGCACCCGCACACACCATCTTTTTTAAAACTTAATGTTGACGACGCTTTTAATCCCATCTCTAAGATAGGTGGTGCTGCTGGAGTATTTAGAAACAATCAATGCCAGTGGATTCGTGGTTTCTCCACAAAAATCTCGTGTTCATCAGCACTTGAATTAGAATTACAATCCTAGTTGATAGAATTAAAAATTGCTCAACAATTCCACCTTTATCCGCTACAGATAGAAACTGATTCTCAGGTAATGCAAAGAGTCTTGCACGTAGGAACCGATCTTTATTTACTTATTATTTTGGAATGCATGTCACTATTGATAATGCCAGGACATCCGGAGCTTCAACATATTTACCGTGAAGCCAACATTGTAGCGGAACTACTTGCTAAGCATGGCATGACTTTAGCTCCTTGCGCAGGCCATCAACGATGTCATCCTCTACATTATGAAAAATCCTCTCTTTATGCTTTACTTGCTTTCAATAATGACTGTTCCGGAACTTGCATAGCATAACAGTCCCTCGGTGTAAAACCTCTACTACTTGTCTTTCTTAACTTTTAATAAATATCCGTATTAGCATAAAAAAAAACAAGAAAAACCTTTAATTACATGAAGAATTAACTAAAAATAGCCGCTGAATGTAATAATAAGTATAATTCATGTATAATATTTGATAATCATATATAATTAGTGTATAATCTATGTATCTAGATTAGGAAAAGTAAGCAGTAAATCTGGTCGACTATTTGTGTAAAGATCTTATAATAATAATAATAATAATAATAATAATAATAATAATAATAATAATAATAATAATAATAATAATAATAATAATAATAATAAAATGTCTTAGGATTCAAGCTTATGATCTAAAGCTACTTTTGGACTCCCTTTACAATTGTATGAGTTTTTTCTTATGTTAAGAGAATTCAACATTTTATATATAACCAAATAAAATATTTTATTTTTACTCTATTTACAAAATATAATTTTTCGACAAAAGAAATTCAATTGAACCCCTCTTTCTCTTACTAACTCAACGCTCATAAAACCAGGGTAATTAATAGTTTCAATTGGAGTATACTTATTTTTTTCTTCTTCTTAAAGTAACATGTTATGTGAGTTTACCTTGACTGTCTGATTAAGTACTTTTATCGAGTAATTCTGTCTACTAAAAATTATGAAGATGGGAGGTTGAGTTGAATGCTTAGTTGTTTGGACAATATTTGGTAAAAATAGTATATATTTTTTAGAGTAAATTTTAACGAATCATTCAAGTTTGCCTTTGTAACACAAAAATTACTTTTCTTTTCTTTGTAACATAAAAATCATCTCTTTAGAGCCTAATAACAAAAATATAAAAGTGGCAGGAGGGATGTCTGCCATTACAATTGCGATAGGGATTCCAGATCAAGAAAATATTGAAGGGATCAAGCTAGCTGGAATTGAATGGAAAGTTGTAAGCAGGGCAAGGTTCTATGTATTCCGATGAATAATTTCTTAGTTGCCGTCGGAGAAAAAATCCTTAGATGGTGAAATTAAAATTAGTTGACGCGGTAGGTAGATATTAATATACTATAAAGGTTAAGCTTTGCCCAAAAAGAGAAACGATGGAAAAGTGTCCTTACGTATGGGATAAGTTTATAGCGGTCTCTTAAAAGTATACTTTTGGGCACTTTTGATCCTTTATGTTCGCCAAAAATTAGACTTTTTAGTCTCCTTCAAGGCATTAAGTATAAACTATAATTGTAAGATTCAACAAAAATTTTCTATTAAAAATAAATTTTTAATTTTGGGGGTTCTTTCCATTTTATACCCTTAATCTATCCAAATCTTTTTATTTACATCTTATCCTTTTATTTTTGCATTTTAGACTCTAATTTAATTCTTACATTGCAAAATCATAAAGTAGTTTATTTCATAAGCGGTATAATTGAGATTAAAAGTTAAAACAAAGAGGAGCCAAACAATAAGGACCACTAGAAATAACTTACCTTCATTTAACAATTGTAAAAATAATTTACTTTACCTTGACTTGGCCTAGAAAAAAAAAAGGTGAAGTAGACAAGCTATTGTTTTCTTCACAAGATAAGAGGTTTGGTTTAGTTTAGTCAAGAAAAGGAAAAAAAATATATGTTAATACAAAACAACACCTTTATATATATATATATATAATTACTTTTACTATATACTATTTAGAAGCGGGAGTTGGGGCTTTCGTCGTCCTACTTCTAGATTACGATTAAGTCCCTTTTAGCATAGAAACTAGGGGTATTTAGGTTTTTCTATTTTTTTAATTACCTTGCCAACTTTGTGCTTTCTACAAACGGCAGTTTTTGACCTTTTCCTTCGCGCTCTCTTTCTCTCTCATCGATACGCGCCTCTTGGTCTCTTTGGTTTGGAAGCTGTGAGCTATTTTTCTAGGTCTGCAACTCCTGCATTTTGACAATAATATTTGGAAGATGCTCTGTTCCGCTTGGGTTTGTCTTTCCGGCTTCTCTTTTCTGCTATCTTTCTGCTCGCTGGCTGACAAGTGAGTACTCCGCGCCTTGTCTTTTATCTCCTCATTTAGATTTGTGTCTGCATTAATGGATTGCAGTGGCCTCGACAGCTTTTATTTGCTACCCAAGAGTGGTATGTGAACTAATTTGAACTAATTTATTTTTACGGCTCTATTTGAAGTTGTACCAAATTTTTTCTTCCCCCATCTGCTTACGACATAATCTATAATCGGGAAAACCTAGGAAACTACAACTAGCTTTAGTTGAAAAGCAGGAAAGAACTTAAAGCAAATTGATGGTTCATGAGTTTTCCAACTGTGAGAAGGAACCTCTGTATGTGAGAATGAATATAACATCAAGATAATGAATTTTGGAAAAATTCTTTATTTTGTGAGACAGGTCAGCAAAATTTCTGGGATTGTTCTTTGAGAAGTATAGAACTTATTCCATTACATCCTGCACACAAATGCACAACTTTCAAATGGAGTCCAGGATTTTTGAAATTAGCAACTACGTTAGAGACCTGTTGAGGATTTTAAGATGAAAAAGTCTTAAAAAGAGGGTGAATTGAAAATGGAGGGAAAATGAAATTTTTGAGTAAAATTTTAAGTTTTCCTCTCTTGAAACATTGTCCCATATTGGAAGAGGAAAAGACTTTTGGTGGGTATATATATAATTGCTCTTCTTGTAGCTCTTAAAGAGTTAAGAAGAAGGCAAGCTTCGCGCCGTCATCGTCGCTCGCTCCGCTACGGCTTCGGCTTCGGCTTTAGATTTGGTCAAATGATCAATTGATTGATTAATTTTTTGGACCAAATTTATTTGTTAATAGTGAATATTAACATAATATTATCCGTGTTTGTAACGGATGTTTTCCAATCCAAGTGTCCCAAGTGCATGCTCCATTGTCCATTGGCAGCCTAGTGCTCCTTCCACCATGTCAAGTGCTTCCTCCATAACAGCCTAGTGATTGTTCCACCATTAGTGGTGGTTGGTCATTCTCTTAATAGCTGACTGCACTATAAATATGTGCAGCAGCTGTTAGAGCAGAGACACCGAAAAACACAGGCAGAAACAAATTTGAGAGCTTGGCTATCGTTGATATCCTCTTCAGTAAGAACTCAACAGCGGCTATACATTGCAGTCCTTCCACTCAGAATTTCCATTCGACTTCTGAGTTCTCCTCCCTTGTTCTGCATTGTTTTAAACTACAAACAAAGCAACCGTAAGTGTGATTTGCTGCCGAACTTTGTGTTCGCTGAAACACTGGGGTGTGTAATTCATTCTATCCTGGAATGAAATAATCCATAACCTTGGGTACTAGGAGGGGATTAAATTCCTTAAAGAAACACTGTGAATTCAGTGGGTTCGAATTAATTACTGTTTCATTTATATTTACGTTTATACGCTAACGTTCTTTTCTACAGAATTATTATTTACAAATACAGCAAGTAAGAAGATATGAACCAACAAGAACACCCTCATATAACCACAAATATCACCCTTTAAGAGAAATTCTTACATTTTACGCATTTATAAAGCATCGTGTAATTCTGTTCATATGTATAGCTAAAGTTGCGGTATTTGACTGATATGTAGAGTATAAAAGATTGATATTGTAATCTTTCTTATTCCTTCTCTCATCTTATGTTGGATCAATGTAAGAACTCAAATATTTGAGCGATCCAAGTATCCAACTTTCGTGGGTGAGACAACCCTTTGAATTATAAGGTAGACAACAATATATTTATCAATAATGAAACAATTAATAAAAACGACCTCAAGAAGCATTGTTGTAAAGTGAAAAGTAGGGCAAGGTACTACAACAGTTTGTAGGAAGTGTTGGGGCAAGTGTGGGGTATGGGTTTCCGGGAACCAATAACTTCTATCTACCACAATTGGTTTTCAATGCTAGCTATGACAAAGAATTTTGCAAAACTCCGTAACAAATGGTCTTTTTTTAAACCTTGAAAGGTTTTTAGGTGAAAATTGGAGAATTACATGTTTTTTGATCCGTTAATCGAACCATATCATAAACCACTGGAATAACCCAGTAGCATACAATAATGATATTGTTTCTTGCTTGTACCATTAAATTTGAGACAATAACGTTGCATTTTCTGCAGAAAATAATTTCTATCGAATGTGTTCTTTCACACTAATTTCGAAAACTCTTTTTTTTTTGCGTTTTAAGATTGTGCGGTTGAGTTTATGTGGTTATGGTGTTGTCTTAAAAGAAGGGTCGTTTTCAGAAGTATATATACGCCCTTAATTTGCTTTATTACCCCCGTTATTATAGCCCATTTCTGTAAATTTATTTTGTCCAGGGCGGTGGCTGACACTACTTTGATTACTTTGCGTTCTTACTCGTCTCCCATGGCTAATAGGTAAATATCGATGAGAACAAGAACATATAGATAAGATGTTCTGCATGTTGCCACCCTCAAAGTCTCTACCAATAAACGACATCGTTGGAGGCATTCTTTCTGTTTGCAACATTGACTCATGAATGAGGAATCTCAATAGGTAGCTCTTTGGTCATGTTGTTATTTTTGAGTTTCTTTCTTGGTGATCCTAATTGTTGTTTTATGTATTTGATGTTGTTGTCTAGGTTATAACTTTTAGCTAATGGCTGCAGTTGAGTTACTTTAATAGGATGGTTTTCCTGATTTAATAGGTGTGACCTTAGTCAATTGCTAAACTACTTATGAGCTAACTAAAATTGTAGTCTATAATTCAGGTTCTTCGTATTTTGTTCTTGAACACAAAAAGGAGAAAGAACATTATTTCGTGGATTCTTTCCATCACTGCTGAATCCTCGATTTTATTCTCAAAAAAGTCTTTCCTATTTTGTAGTATTTTTTAATTTGGTATTTGTGTTCTTTATAAGTTCTTGTGCATATGTTATCCGCCGTCTGAGTCTAGAGGCTTTTTTAAGCTACTGGAATCACTTAGTCAAAATTCTGTTGATGGAGATGGTCAATTCCCTAAAAAAAAGGGTACATGTGTCTTACATATATTGTATTTTTGCACGGGGGCACCCATGTTTTCTACTAGGAAAACTGCAAAAATGCAATTTTTTCGAATAATATTTAATCTACTTGATTTAAAAAATGTCAGTTAATGTGTGTTTTTAATGTGATTTGTGATTCTAATATATCAATGGATATTACTCTATGGTGTTATGTCAGTATGTTGTGATTCTTTAGGGTTGGTTCCAATTGTTGATAAGAGATTTTTATCTAATGTTAAATAGTTATTGGATTCTGATTATTAGTAGATATTTGGGGTCACATTGTGTCAAACGGTGTATGTATGTATACATAATATGCAATTACAGAATACCTATACAAACATTATAAATGACACTGTAACACAAATAGATCTATATCTTGATGGTTAAGCGCCTATTATTCAGAGTTTAGTCTAGAGTTCAAACCTTGGTCATGAATTGCACTTTTTTTTAAATTTAAAAAAAAGAAAGAAATTTGGTCAAAATAAAATTTTTAATCTCTGCCAAATGTAGGTTGTTTACAAACTAGCTCTATTTGACTCTAGATACTAGCTCTCAAAAATAGCCTCTGAACAACAACTGAAAAAATAACCTAGTGCGCACCTCAGTCTTTTACCCGTGTGCTGAAATATACAGGTTGTGAGAGTGAGGCTTGAACCACAACTCCTTACCAAGTGAGGATAATACAAAGCATGTCAACTTTCTTATAAAAAAATACAAAGCAATCAACTTACGATTCATTTCCATAATAAACTTCTTTTTCTTTTTTTATTTGCATAACTTAGACAATTAATTTGTTGATAGTTGATACTTTATACAACCTTAAACAATATTATTCAAGCAAACTTAAATTGGAACATTATATTTTTTTTTAATCGGATGTCCTCGAGGGACAAGCAAACTTAAAATGTATATAGCAATTTTGTTCATTTGTTCACTTCTTGAAATATTGACATTACTTACAGAACATCCTACATACTCCTTTGTAGATATTATACTCTATGGTGTAGTATTAGGAGTGAATGATATAGTACGATTCCCCGTATGTATTGATTCTGTAAAGCTGGCTTTGGTTGTTGATCCAACGTTGAACAATTAAATGTGTGCTTAGAACTTGTTTTAAGGTGAGAATATCCTTAGAACTTATAGGATAAAAGTTTGCAGAGTCGATGGTTGATTTATGAGCTTATGGAGATTGTTGTTTTCCCACTAATACTTTTTCCTTTATAAAGAGGCGTTAAACAGAATAACAAAATGAAGGGGTTTTTTCTTTATTGTCTTATTATGAATATGTTGTTGGGTTCTTATTTATCAAAAATATGTTCTTAGGTTCTGACATTGAGACGACAGAACATCACATAAATATTGGTGAGGAGTTAACTACGAAACTTAGTCTACATTCAGTTCCTCTGGTTTTTGTCTTGAAAATGATTGACAAAATTCAAGTTTGCATTTCAACTGTGTTATTTAATTTGTAAATGGTAATGAACACAAGGATTTTTAAAATTCCTCATAGTTTTATTTAGTTGTTGTTTGTTGTGTGTTTCGTCTATTTGTCGTGTCCAGCTACTCATAATTGGAAACTGGCGACTAAGGGTGCCAGCTGAGCTACAAGCTTAGTTTCTTTTTTATTTTTTAATCAGGGGAATTTGCAGTACTTTATATCCACCATTATATTGACCATTTTAGTTATTCATCAGTTTGCATAAGAAAAGAAAGAGTAGATTTGGCGTTCCCCAGTAATATATGCGCCTACCATTTTTATGGCTTGCGACTTAGTTATGGGCCTGTGTTTGGCAAACACCTACATTGCTTCTTGTGCAACTATTTGACCCGCTAACTTCGTGGAGTTTTTGAGGTTTCTAGCACTACTTTTTACGACATGGTGATTTAATGGAGCAATCGAAGAGGTAGTAACATTATTCTTCGTAACTGTGATCCTTATAATGATTCATTTTATTCTTTTCATTGAACTTCAAAAATCAGTCTACTCTTGGATGATAACTTTAATTAACAACTACAGATCTGAATATTGAAACAAAGATAATTTCCCGAGCATCTGTCTTTCATTTTTTCAGTGCAAAGCTTGATGTTTAGGGACATGCTTGAGTGTCGGCTTTGCTTTTGTAGGAAGCAAAAAAGTGTTTGAATTTTCCAACCTGAATTTCTGTCTATAACCTGTAGTTATTTATGTTGAGAAACACCTATTGATTATTAGCTAAGTAAGGAGTTAGAAAGAACCCGATGACATTTTTATATCCAAGAAGCTCTATCATCCAAAATGTAACTGCCAGAAAAGTTTGTCTGAGAAAAAACTACCAAATATGTTTTAATATATGCATTTATCTCAATTTAAAAAATTTCCTCCAACCGATGCACATTGATCTAAAATATTGATCTCTTATTCTAGAATTGTTGGATGGCTCTACAGTGACATTGATTTAACGCTACTTTGACCTTATGGAAATGTACATTCTTTACGTATATTTTTATTTCTGTTTTGGCCTCCTTCCTATTGGTGTGGGAGACAGATTTATCACAGGTGGAAGCTTTTCCAGGTTTGATGGTAAATAGTACTACCATATTGAAACTTGTGAATCACTGCTATAGCAAGATGAATTCAGTAATAGATGTTCAATCATTTGACATTTAGGACTATCTTGTTGCAAAAATTATTTTTATGTTACTTTTTTGGCAGTTAACTTTCCTAATGGGTGATTACGTCTTAAGCAAATAGAGTTCAATTAGTTTAATTTGATTGAACAAGTTGTGTTTCACTATTTTGTGAGTGGTGTTTTGCATCAACATAAAAGGGGTAGGATGGAAGCATACCTCGCTGAAGGACGTTTAGTAGAAGGATTACACTAAACGTAATATCTACGTCAAAAGTATTACTTGACTCTCTTATGCCTTGTGCAGATAAATTACGTTCTCCCTCTTCTTCCCTGAGGTCTCTTTAAAATTAAAAAATGTCAATATTTACTCTATGAAGGTCCATGTCTTGTTAAAAGTTGGAGTGTAGTTTGTTTGAGTTGTAAAGTTTAAATCTTCTTTGGTTCTCTTCTACAAGAATTAGTTCTATGGTGTGTGTAATGTTAGATATAAGGGGGCTCTTAATAGTCTTGTCCATGAACCATGTATTTTTCTGTTTGCAGGAGACCCAGAGCACCAGTAGAGCAGTAGGAAATTCATTTAAAATGAAAAGTAAAAAAAAATTGTGTAACATATGTATAACATGAAGGACAAGGAAAATCAAATGGAACCTTTGGGTCTATTGTCATATATTAACCTATAAGGTTCAAGCCATAAAGATGGATTTTTTTAATGGAAAGGAAGTGTACATTTATAAAGTGCTTCTGATGATTGTTACTTCAAGTAATTTTTTAGTTTGTACATTTATATTTGCTATCCAGTAAAGTATATTGGTCCGGTAACTAACGTAAATAATTGCTTTTGAAAGATTCGACAATAAATCTTATCTCCTTTGTGGCTTGAATTTGTTTTCTTCCTTCTACGGCCTGAAAGATTAGAAAACATCACGTTTTATCCATAGTTTGTTTGAAGAGGACGATGTAGGAGAGGAATAAAGAAAGTAGAAGCTTAGGATCAACAGAAAGTTGCCCTTAAGGAAGGGCTCATACATGCCAATCAATTTGAGTACCCCAAATGAGATCAAAGCTTCTATCATATGAGGTACATATGATGAGAGCAGCAAAACAAATGCTCCAATAATTGACCTATGAAGGTTATCTCACTTAAAAACATAGATCTAAATGATTAGTTGCTATAAGAATGTCACGAGCCATTTCCATAATAGGTCATAATGGCGCCCAACACCATTGTCGGGCAAGCCAACGCAGAAATTTCTAAATAAGATCTCATTTACTTTTACCTAAAATAGTTGCAATGATTCTTTAAGTTGAAATAAAACCGAAATGATTAGTAAAGTCAAAACAATAATCATACAATCCCAAAAATAATACAGTCTACTAATGTATGTGTCAAGACCTGGTGTCACAAACTATGGGCAACTAGTAGAATATACAAAAGAATCACACTATCCTACTGTCCGAAACAGAATAGACAGCAATAATACATAAGAGAGACTCATTCAGACTGCTGAACAGCATAGTAAGGGAAGCAACTCACCGTAGAAGTCTCGAAATCTGCTCAGGGATGCGCACCAGACTGATAGCCAGATACACCTGCCTCAGATCCTGTACAATTAAGTACAAAAGTGTAGTATGAGTACATAAACAATATGTACCCAGTAAGTATCTCGTCTAATCTCGAAGAAATAGAGACGAGAGATCGACTTGACACTTACTAGGGTCAAATAATATGAGAAAGAATCTATAATAAGCATGGATAGCACAATTCATTAGCATTGTATGGCAAGGAATAAAAGTTCTTTTTCCAGATAATATCATGGGTATCCATTTACGTTTCAAGGCATATATGAAGTTCAGTCCACAGAGAAATAATAAGTAAAGCACGCGCAAGCAACACCGAGGGACGTACGGCCCGATCCAATATAAAAGTAAATTGTGCACTGCCGAGGGTCGAACGGCTCGAACCATAGATGCATCTATTACCCCGCTCACGAATCATACGTGCGACGCGGTCAAATATAAATAAACTCATCAACAAGCAGACAATAATGTATATCTGAGGAGTAGTTGTTCACAGGAATATTCAAATTCTCTTTTAAAAGAACAAGCAAGATAAGGTTCCTCTACTAGTCTCATTTACCTTAATCAACATAATTTATACGAATCTAAATTTATCATCAAGTTACAAGAATATCACGTAGAGCGTGCTTTTGGGTCCTAGACTACCCGAACTTAACATAATAGTAGCTACGCACGGACTCTCGTCACCTAGTGTGTACGTAGCCCCCGCATATAATAGCAATTAATTCAATTATTACACCTATAGGGATAATTCCCTCTTATAAGGTTAAAAATGAGATTCACCTCGCTCCAAAGTGCACTTCCAATACCAAGAACGAGTCCAAGCCCTCAATTCGGAGCCGAACGATCCCAAACTAGATAAATAAGGTAGGAACTAGTCAATATAGACTCACAAGATCGAATTCTAGCTATTTAGGCAATTTTCCAACCTTTAACACAAGTTTTCTAAAATCCGACCCCGGGCCCACGTCCCCGGATTCCCAAATTTTTCGAAGGAAGTTGTTCTCTATAACCTAAGGATCAATAATATATGATTTCTAATTTATTTCATAACAAATTTCGTGGTTAAATCTATCTTTTGTCAAAACCCTAGGTTTTGCTCTAACCCCTTGATTTTACCTAAAATCTAGTGTTTAATCTACCTAATACACAAGTATTAAACTTGGAATAGGTGGGATAAACTTACCTTACGATGCTAAGTGGAAGTCTTCTCTCCAAAGCTCCCAAAATTGCCAATGGAAGAGTGAAGATTGGCAAAAAGGGACTTACAACCCGTATTAAATGAAGCTCACTGCTTCGGGAATTTCCGCATCTGCGGTTAGGGGACCGCATCTGCGAAATAGGCCAAAAAGGGTTGGGACCATTTCTGCGGTCCTGAGGCCGCTTCTGCTGTTTGAGAGCCGCTTTTGCGATTTGGACTAGCCTTCCCTGGGCCGCATCTGTGATAGGTGGACCGCTTCTGCGGTCTCGCAACTGTGGTCCACCAACCGCAGGTGCGGTTATGACAGAAGCAGCAGCTTCAACACTTCTCAAAAATTTCAACTTCACTCGAGCCTCGTCCGATTGACGCTCGGGGCTCCTGGGCCCCGCCCGAATATACCGACAAGTTTGAAATCACAAAACGGACCTACTCGAACCTTTGGAATGCCCGAAACAATGCTAAATCTAAGAATCACCCCCTAAAACCAATTGAATCAAACTTATGAACTTCAAGTTCTTAATTTTTCTCTAACGGGCCAAAATGCTCTTAAACTACTCGGATTGACACTAAATTTTATGGGCAAGGCTTAAATGATATATTGGACCTGTACCGGGCTTCAGAACCAACATACAAGACCGATACCCATGAAATCAATCATTAGTTATTTTCTTTAAATCCTTAAAACTTCATATTAACAATTTCTAATAAAAATTCACTACTCGAGCTAGGGACCTCGGAATTCGATTCCGGGCATACGCCCAGGTCCCATATTTTCCCATGGACCCTCCGGGACAGTTAAATCATGAATCCGGGTCCGTTTTCTCAAATTGTTTACCAAAGTCAAACTTAGTCTTTTAAGAAAATCCTAAGGAATCAAATGGGCATATTTCACTCAAAACTCTTCTAAATCCCGAACCAACCGTCCCCGCAAGTAGTAAATTAGCTAAAGCAAGAGCGTAAAGTGTTATTTAAGGGAATGGAGTTCTAAAAGGCAAAACGACTAGTCGGGTCGTTACATTCTCCACCTCTTAAACAAATGTTCGTCCTCGAACGGACATAGAAAAGTACCTGAGCCATCGAATAATTGTGGATATCTGCTCCGCATGTCCTCCTCGGACTCCCAAGTCGCCTCCTCGATTGGTTGGCCCCTCCACTGGACCCTCACCGCAAAAATCCTCTTGGACCTCAACTGGTGATCCTGCCTATCAATAATGGCAACTGGCTCCTCCTCGTAACCCAAACTCTCATCCAGCTGGATAGTACTGAAGTCCAACACATAGGATAAGTCGGCATGATACTTCTGAAGCATCGATACACAAAAAGCTGGATGAACTCCCGATAAGCTGGGAGGTAAAGCCAACTCGTAAGCAACCTCCCCAACTTGCCTCAACACCTCAAATGGGCCAATAAACCTTGGGCTCAGCTTGCCTTTCTTCCCGAATGTCATAACACCCTTCGTTGGCGAGACTTTCAAGAGGACCTTCTCGCCAACCATAAATGATACATCACGCGCCTTCTGATCCGCATAACTCTTCTATCTGGACTGAGCTGTGCGAAGCCTCTCCTGGATCAACTTTACCTTGTCCAAGGCATCCTGTACCAAATTTGTACCGTATAACTTAGCCTCACCAGGCTCGAACCACCCAATAGGAGAACGACAATGGCGACCATATAAAGCCTCGTATGGAGCCATCTCTATGCTGGACTGATAGCTATTGTTGTATGCAAACTCCGCCAAGGGCAAGAACTAATCCCACTACCCTCCAAAGTCAATCACACATGCTCTGAGCATGTCCTCCAAAATCTAAACTATCCACTTCGACTGCCCGTCGGTTTGAGGATGGAATGTTGTACTGAGCTCTACACGGGTCCCCAACTCAATCTGAACAGCTCTCCAGAAATAGGAGGTGAATTGAGGGCCCCTATCTGATATAGTAGAAACCGGCACACCGTGCAACCGGAATATCTCCCCAATGTAAATCCGAGCATACCTCTCTGCTGTATAAGTAGTTGCCACTGGAATAAAATGGGACGACTTGGTCAACCTGTCAACAATGACCCATACTGAATCAAACTTCCGCAAAGTTCGTGGCAACCCAACTACGAAATCCATGGTGATGCGCTCTCACTTCCACTCTGGTATAGGCATCTGCTAAAGTAGGCCACCCGGCCTCTGGTGTTCATACTTGACCTGATGGTAATTCAAACACCTAGCTACATACTCCACTATATTTTTTTTCATCCTCCGCCACCAATAATGCTGTCTCAAGTCATGATACATCTTCGTAGCTCCCGGATAAATGGAATACCACGAACTGTGTGCCTCTTCTAGAATCCTCTCCCTCAGACCATCAACATTAGGAACACATAGACGACCCTGGAGTCGCAAAACACCATCATCGCCAATAGAAACCACCTTGACACCTCCCTGAAGCATCGTCTCTCTAAGAACCGCCAAATGTGGATCATTGAACTGTCGGGCCTTGATCTGACCCAATAATGAAGACTGAGCAACCACACACGCAAGAACTCGGCTGGGCTCTGAAATGTCCGACCTCACAAGTCTTTTAACCAAGGACTGAATGTCCAAGGCTAGTGGTCTCTCTGCTGCTGGAATGAATGCCAAGCTACCCATACTCTTTGCCTTTCTGCTTAAAGCATCCGTGACCACATTTGCCTTGCCCGGATGATAAAGAATAGTGATGTCATAATCCTTCAGTAACTCAAGCCACCTGCGCTGCCTCAAATTAAGATCCCTCTACTTGAACAAATGTTGCAAGCTGCGATGATCGGTATAAACCTTACATGACA